GCTGCCAATAAGGGGCATCCGCAAACGACGCGGCCGTCAAAGGAGATAAAGGCACCCAGCGTCGCGCGCCATTCCTGCGCTCGTAAGGCCTCTATAGTGTGCGAACGAAGAATGAAACGCTCAGCATTAATACCAATGGATTGACACTCGTTTGGTGTTGTGTCTCTGAGATTTTCAGGAGTCGCAGATCGCGATAGCAGCTGAAGGTTGCTGATGCTTAGGTCTTCGTCTTAATTCAAAAGAAAACATAGCGTTTATTGACAGCAAGCACACGCGTTGTAGACGAGCACAGGACAGGCCCTGCCCGTTTTGTACATTCATGGCTGATTTAGAGACCTACTTTTTTCAGTCTTGATAAAACAAAGAGGAATACAAGTTCGGCCCATCTGTAAAACGCGACTTCTAGAACTTCGCGTCTCACCGTAGCAAGTTGTTCATAACTAAATATTATTGGACAACTCCCTCAGATAAAATTCCCACAACCTTTCTAAAATCGTGAAAAAGTGATAGGGTTAACTGAATAATTGATTGGTTGTTTAGCTGCAGTTTATTAGCTCAAACGCAACTAAGGCTCTCACACACTAAAACTATTTGAATAAGGGTAGATAATATTATCGTTATTGAAACGCACGGAAATGCAAATAGTTATTCCAGCTAATCCGTTTTTTTTTTTTTTGTAATGTAGCTTAGTAAAAAAGAAAAACACGATATTACACCCAAAAACGTTTGGAGAACACACCATCGTCCTCTTCTTTTAGGCCAAGAAAGTCCCTCAAGGTTCAGTTCTTGGCCCTCTTGTTTTTTTGGTTTATACGAAACAATTTTTCTTCTTTTTTATCTTCCAACCTAAAACTATATGCTGACGACCTTGTGCTCTATCGTAAAGTTTTCTTCCGTTGATGACTGCATAATATTACAAGAGGACCTAGAAAAACTAACAACTTGGTGTGAATCTTGGCTCATGACGATTAACCAGAAAAAAAAAATCTAAAATAATGATATTCTCCAGATCAAAGCATTAAGTCTGTGCTTGATATACTAATTCATCTGGCAAGCTTGAACGGGTGGCCGCATTTAGATACTTCGGAGTGTACCTATCACAACACCGATTATGGTAGTGTAACGTTTACATCTGCTGTAAAGCTAATAAAAGTTTAGGATTTTTAAGAGGGCATCTTTATCTTGCGGACTCACGTAAGGCGTTTAGCCTATACTCTAAAAAAAAGCCCGTGCGTCTACTTTCTCATACAAAACTTGGAGAGCCAATCACCGCAACTTAAAGAGGCGGCTCAGCGAATGACAATGCCGAAACATATGTTTAGACAAAAAAAAAAAAAAAAAAAAAAACAGTCTGAGTTGTGACGTTAAGCACTGCAAGCTGACGTTTTGCATTGCTTAATGCCACAACTCCGAGTGCGTTTTTTAGTTTAAATATATGTTTCGGCATCGTCATTAGCTGAGTTGCCTCCGTAAGATGAGGTTATTGGCTCTCTAAGTGTTGTGCGAGAAAGTAGACGCACGGGCTTTTTTTTAGAGTGTAGTCTGTGTTAGGGGTCTGGATTAAGCTGAAATACGTATCCGTCATATGAAACCCTGATAAAATATATCTAATTAACCTACTCGAAGCTGTTCAAAAACGTGCCGCTCGTTTCATTACTCTAGATTAATTCCAGAATAGAGTTTCTTCTCTAAGACTGTCCATATCTCTCCAAACTCTCGACATTCGCAAAACAAATGACTGGAGTCCTTTAACGCGCAAA